TTTTAAGAAAAACTTTGTGTTTTTGAAAATCAAATTTAAAAATTTAAAAAAAATTTTTTTTTTGAAATGCTCTAAGTGTTAGCGCTGATGAAAAAAAATTTAAAAAAAAAATTAAAAAAAAATTTAAAAAAAAAATATAATAACAAAATGTATGTAAAACAAAATATTAAAAAAATTTTCGTATTTTCGTTTTTCTTAGATTATAATTATTACTGACGTAATCGATTATCAGCACTGATTATACAACGTTAATCACTTTTTCCAAAAAAAAAAAAATAATATCTTACTATCAAAGTTAAATATAAGTAATATAAAAATAATTGAAATACTCAATTAAAAAAAAATTAATTTGAGTTAAGCTGAAAGCATAATTGTTGTACACATCCAACAGCTCTGATACAATTTTTTTTCTTTTTTAATAATGCAATAGAAAATTCTCTAGCTTTTTTGTGCTATAGAATATCTACTTGGCTGGTACACCAAAAGTAAAAAATTTCTATTTTGAATAAAAATCATAAAAATTTTATTAAATATTTTTTGTTGATAGAAACTATTATTATAAATATTTTTTTTATTTGTATTAAAAGTTTAGCAAAATATATATTTTTTTTTCTTTTAATTATTTTCCGCATTTTATATAATTTTTTTTTTTAATGTTTACTGGGCTAACCAAAAAGCACTGTTTCATAAGCATCACTTATGTGAGCACTCCATTTGTGGTAATCATAATATCAACACAAATATTAATGCGTGCTTAGTATGCTAAAGTCGACAGTAAACAAGGAAATGATATAAGAAAATCATAGCACACACAAGGCATACATCAGTATAAACAGAGAACATATGTACATGTTTGTATGTTTTGTATCTTATGTCATAATCTACACTCCTGACGTCAAAATAGGTTGCTTTTTTAATTAGTTAGAAAAAAACATTTTTAACACTTATAAGTTAACCAAATTCGGTTATTACAATACAATTACAACTTAAATTTCTACGACGCAATATTTTGTTTATTTCCTATGGGAACTCAAAAAAGTAAGCGATATCACTAAGTTGAAACGCAGAAAAATTTTAATTTAATACAACACATAGCATACATTATGTACTTACTACATACATACAAGGTTCGTTCCAAAATAATCAGTAAAAAAGTAACAAAGAAAAATCTAGTGGCGCCATCTATATGTGCGTTATCTGCTATCCTTTATCGACTTCCAGTAAAAATTTCATGACATTTCATCTATTGGAAGTGAAGTTATTGCGTTTTAAGTGTCAGTATGTTTTTGTAATCGGTGCGAATCGGTGCGGTGATTGACTGACGACCAAAAATTGCTCAGAATTCAACATTCCAAGGACATCATTAAAGAGGCAAAAAAATACCCGAACTTCCTTTACAAGATTGTGACTGGTGGCGAAACGTTGTTATTTGACCAAAAATCACATTTTAACAATCAACCACTCCCCGTATTCACCTGAGATGGCACCGTGCGACTTCTACCTTTTCGGAAAAATGCATTTGCCGATGAAAGGAAAGCGTTATGCAGACGTGGAGGCCATTCAAAAGGCTTGCACCGGCATACTGGCGGCCATACCGGGCAGCGAGCTAAAACACTCGTTCGACATGCTTTTGGACCATGCAAAAAGCTGTATTAAAGCAGAAGGAGACTATTTCGAATAAAATTAATTGATTTTGCCGATAAAACTATTTGTTCTGTCTTTTTTTTTAAAAATCCTGTTTAGTGGGCAAGCACCACGAGCAGGTCTGTAGAGCTTCCTGCAAATGTTGCTTGGATACATGACCACGAATTCGCGGTCATAAATTCATAAAAATCATATTATTGTTCCCAACCGCCTTTGGTTATGGTGGCAGATTACAATAATACACACAACAAATACAAGCAAAAAAACATTTGTCGAATAATAAAAGCGCTAAGTATATAGTAACTTATTTTACTACGAGTTTATCTTATCGTGCCAGTTGATAAGAGGAAAGCATGAAAGGCGCGCTGTGCAGGTGTGCGTTTTGTTGTTTTCCATGTTTATATTTGCGCACATTTTTGATTTATTATCGAGCGACTTTAGTCACCTCCCATATGTTGACTGCTGCGCGCCTATTACACACACTGAAAAACTTATCGACTAAAATTTGACCATAAACTTACCTTGGAACTTAGTACCTAAAAAGGTACAGTGTTTAAAAATGTTTAGGTTTTCAGGCAGTAGCTTGTGATGAGAGATAAACAAACAATCAGCCGATATTACTTTCTATTTTTGGTATAAGGAGTAAATATGTAGTTTGATGGTATAAAGGGTGATTTTTTCAGTAACTAAAAATGCAAAAAAATATTTATGTAAATTATAAAATATTAAAAAAGGACTCGTCATATATTTATTATTTTTATTTTCTCATTTATTATTTATATCGTAATATTAAATAATTCAAATTAATATTTTACTTTGCAGTAGTTCTCAAAGAATATTACTTATTTTTTTTAGTAATAAATAAAAGCAGTGAAGTATTCGCATACAAATTTTCGCCCACATTTTTCACTTTTTGAGTTGAATGAAGTAGAAATGCTGCCAAAATATATTTAAAAATATTTTTTCAAGAATTTTTATGTTATTGTTTTTTGAAAAATAATATGTATTTCGATAAAAAAAGGTTCAACGGATTTTATTTTAAATTTAATAGCAATTAATTCAGTATGTGAAGTATAAAAATAAAAATCATTGCCTACATCTTGGCGCATGCCATATGATATGTATAAAAAATCATATTTTTTATTTAAAAACAATTTTTATAATTTTATTTTCTGCAAAATTTGTTATTTCTCATAATAAATAAATTTTTAGAGCAACTCATAAAATTTCATAGCAATAGATACAGTATGTGAAATACAAAAATAATATTGCCTACATATTGGCGCATCGCCAAAATATGAAAAGAAGTAGTATAAGCCAAGCTTAATAATAAAAAAAAATTTAAAATTTGTTGGGAAAGCCAATTTTATTTCTCAAAGTAAAATGTTCCTAAATTGCACCCTGTATGCCATAATTCATACCTAAAATTAAATTTAAGTAGTTCAAAAACGTGTTGTTTGTACAAAGCGCGTGAGTGGCAGCCGAAAAAATGTATAAAAATTCAATTGGCAACAAGAAAGTTATTGCGAAATTCTGTATTGATAAGAAATTAAATTTCAAAAATAACCGCTCTAAACTAAAGAATAATGGACTTTAGACAAGTAGATAAAATTAAGGAAACAATTGAATTAATTATTTGAAATGATATGGACAACTGACATTTATTGAGAAACAGTGATTTTTTGAACTTATAGTGGTAAAATAATGGATCAATAAACAAATTCCTTGTACTTCCAAAATTTAACTTAAATATTTCTTTTTTCAAAAATGCACAGTGATATTCACATCTAAATAAAATGAACAAATATAAAACAAATTGCTCAGTAACTTAGACAAACACTGAGATAACAAATAAATTTATGCAAAATATTTAGAATCAATATCAGGGACATTTTTCATAGTCATTAAAGAAATTAAAAAATCTTGTTTACCAAATTTCAAAATATGCAGAATATATGAATATAAAGTAAACAATAAATTAAAAGCATCCATAAAGCAATACCAGAAATTTACTTAAATAAAAAAAAAACTAAACTAAATTAATTTAGCTGTAGTGGACATGACTGAGAAATATTGCGTTAATTTCAATGCGGTGAAGTGAAAACTTGTAAGCGCCGGCGCTTATTTCTTGACAAATAATATATAATTGTCAACACATATGCCAAATTAATGGGTAATTAAATAAAATATATTAGCAATAAAGCCTAAGTTCGTTTTTAGTGAAAGTGTTAAAAGTTCAATACGTTTAAGAATTATTTAGGTTAAACTGAGTAAAATAAATTAATTGTAAATGAGATGAAAAATCTTTAGCCAGCACCGTTTGTATATTTATTCACAATTTTTTTTTAAATATTGGTAAATATTTGAAGCGTAATTTCGAGTTTGAACTTGTGGAACACAAATTAAGTCATAAACTGTAGCAGAATTACCGGCGAGTAATATTTCTGAACGAAAAGTGCGAATGTTTTTTTAAATTAACGAGCTCAGAGTTTCTGGGATATATCTGGCAAGAATTTTGCTAAATATTAAACTTAAAACGCAAAATAAATTTAGTATTTGTTAAAAATATTGCGAAAATATATAAAATTAGCACTACCTTGCAAGCATAAAAAGTATGCAGTATCATTCGAAAAAAGTCGAAGCCATTGCACTCAGTTAATTGAGCTATAAATCGTTTTATCGCAATAAAATTCCGTTGCAATTGTAAACGATTCAATGAAGTAATAAAATAATTTCGATACAATTTGGTGGAACTAGATTAACCGAGACGAATATACTCAAATATTTGGGCAGTAAAAAAATTTTAAATTAATAAAAATTCACCAGTAGAGTTATAGGTAAACAAAAATTTAATTTTTAAAAGCACAAATTGCGTATAAAAATGTATGTGTTTATGTTTGTATATGCCAGAAAATGTTTAGTCATAAAAAAATTATAAAATTACTCGTTCTAAACTTGTTGCAATACAATGCGAACTTGTTATGCTGCCAGCTATACGAAATAGCAGCGCAAACCGTTAGCTATGCAATATTAACATTTTTTGTCAGCAACAACAATAATTTTCATTATTTTAAATTTAAAATATTTTTTCCATTTCCCTTTTTTTTGCATTTTTACCGGTCCCATTTTTTTATATTTTTTTATGCTGCTTTGCATTTTTCTATTCTAAATATCACCGTTAGAATTAGCAAACAATGCCGCAATAAAACACAGCACCCGCAGAAAAAAACAAAAGCAGAACAATTTTTTAGTTTTGTACTATTTTAGTTTGTTGTTGTTTCTATGTTCATTCATAGTTTCATTTACCAACCAAATGCTAATTCGAATTCTCGCTTTTTTGCCTTCGCTCTTTGCAGATGACACTGTGCAACGTAACGGTAGCAGAGTTGGTCAACAAATACGTAACCCTAGATATTATCAACAACAACAACAACAGCAACAAAATGGTAGCAATACACAATTAAATGCGAAAACTGATTCATCCGATTCGGGTATTTCTACAAATGGACGTCATCAGCAACATCATCATCATCATTCGCATCGTCAACAGCCACAGCAACATAATCAGAAACAGCGTAAAACGCGTTTGAACAGTAAACGACAAGATAATAACGCAACAACAATAACAGCAACAACACAAAAACGTACAACCGAATATACGGTTGATGATTGGTTGGGTCGTGAAATGGTTTACTGTTACGATCATCGGTATATATCTTCATGCGCCGAAGGTGAGCACAAAAAACATAAAATTATTTTTAGAGAGAATACATTATTTTTTTATAGTTAGTATTGTACTAGTCTGAAGTTAACTCAATAGATTCAATAGAGGAGAGTTTAAGGATTTTTTATTGTAGATTAATGAGTCAGTTTGGTGGAGTAACGATGGTAAATTATACTGATGCAAAGTTTACTGTAAACTGTGTAAAATAATATTTACACAAAATATTTATCACTCAAATATGCGACACAATTTTCTTTTACTCAGAAACGTTTCACTCAATTTTTGTTTTCATTCGAGTTATTTCCACATGTTTTTCGACTGTTAGAAAAGAAGTGTTTAGACATAAAGTCGCTTACTTCAACGTACTCTTACAGCAATGAAGAAAAATGAAGAATTATTTTGTCATTACGATTGAGCCAAATTTATAGTGAAAGGTGCTAGCAAATCCATCCGAAGTAATTTTTTAACATGAATGCAGATACAAAGAATATACTCAATATTTTTCGCTCAAAATTTCACTAAAATTTTTTACACTCAAAATTTCACAAATTTTTTTTCTTAAAATATCATCAACTTAATAATTTTAAATATATTGTCGTTTTTCAAAAAAAAAAAAAAATGAAATACCTATTTTAATTGCTTCATATGTTAACATATATACATACACATATATTCAAACGTTAAGGCAACATTTGTGCGGTAATTTGTTTGTTGCAATAAACACCAAGTGTGAAGCGAAAAGCAGCATTCCAGTGAGTTTATAAATTGCAAAAGTGTGAGTCAAAAATAACAAAAAGCTTAGAAAAAATAATAAACAAATAAGATCTACAATAATAAAAGTTATCCATACAATTTCATCTAAAGGGAAATTTACTTGATGCTGCATTCATTTTAAACAGCAACAATAGTCCGCTTTTCTAAATTTTCTTATACAGCTACCCATTTGCAGATTTTATAGCCTTTTGTAAAATAGATATGTTTGTATGTTTGTATGTTTGTCTGTGTCATTTGTTGTTTTCGTTTATTACTGCCAATACCATTAAAGGCGAAGGAAGATCTTTTTCCACAATAAAAAAGAAATCTGAAAATTCTAGCGCCTGCGGAAATAAGTGTGCAATTATGCGAAAATATTTGAAAATCACTTTAGCAGCCAACTAAGTGCGCATATTTGTATAAAAGCAAAATATTGTTAATTTCGAAATGTTATAAAATAATAAAAAAAAAAAAATGTGTGAAAACGATTAAACGTTGAAAAGAAAATGCTTATAGACAACTAAAAGCACATGCATACGCCTTTAAATCCATTGAAGCAAAATATTCCACATACGCCGTGACACACACTTCGCCTCAACAATAAGGCAAGACGCATTTATACCAGAAAATAAAAGAAAAACGAAAACTAAATCTAACTGACTCATTTTTAGCTAACAGACGTTTTTATTTTTGTTGTTATTGAAATAGTTTGCATATAATACAATATAAAACTTTTTTTATTTATTTTAATTGAATTTAAAGGCTTGAACTGTATGTGCTCACACATATTATAGAAATCTACATACAAGTTTGCCCATATCGCTGGCATACCTCTGCCCTGCCTGTAAGTGTACATACCCTAAACATGCATCACAACTCACTAGATTAGCTATAATTTAATTGTTCAATTATGTTAATGCCGTGTGTGCATTTAGCCATGGTCAAAACAAGGAAGTGTTAGCTTCACACTTCATTTTTCGTGCAAAAGCTGATTTCCAGTTTTTTGCATCTTCACAACTGGCTGCCAGTTTTCACTCTCATCAGATGTTTTTTTTTATTTTTTTACTTTTTCCTTTGAATTATAGTTTTTATTTTCAAGTATGTAGTTTTATGGGAGGAGCTTCAGCATGGCTGGCTGGTGGTAGTCTTTCACCATTTAATTGAAATTATAATTTTTTCGTTATATCTTTTTTGTAATTTTAAAAGTTTCGCTGCCAATTTCAAAAGTTTCTCTGGCAATTTCAACTTTTTTTTTTCACTGAAACTTATTGCCTGCGCATTTAGCGTGAGTTCAGCGTACTTGTGTACGTGGAAAACTCGTTTGGCCGCTCGCACACATGCGCTGAAATAGTTAGCAAACTCGAGTAGCTAGTTTGAAGTGGGTTAAATTTATTTTAAATTGAGTTATAATTAATTCCAAATTCATACCAAAACATATAGCTGATAAAAATGCTAATAAGGAAGCTGGAATTAATTACAGTTTATCGCTTAATTTTTTGTTTAAGTTTTTCGTGATTAATTTAATCGTAGTTGTTTAAAGTTTTATCTTTGTGAATCTGACAATATAATTCTGTGTGGCTTTTGATGAGTTAATAGTATGAAGCAGTTCTTTCCAGATCTATGTTTTCGACGAATGAAATGTAAAATTTGTTTATTAACAAAAAAAAACAAAAAACCTCGTAAATTTTTACATCATTGTATAATATATTGATCTAATTTTTTGCAAAAAAATTATAATTTTTAAATAATAATTTATATATATTAGATATGTATATTAGACTGATTAAAAAAAAAAAATTTTTTTTTCGAAATCCTCACGTAAAAACTTTCGTGGAGATGTAAAAAGACGCCTGGGAAAATAGGAGCCCTTAATATTAATATTAAGAGGTCGCCCATCGCAGATTTCTATTTCTTATTTAAATAGCACGGAAAAAATGTTTCTTTAATTTTGGAATTTTGCAACTCTGAACCAGTTTAACGGATTGTTGAACCAAATTACGTTTTCATAGGAAATTTGACGCTCTTCAAAAAAAAAGTCTCTAGAAATTTTTTTATCGAATTCAAACTTAAAATTACAAAAAAAATCACATGTTTTTTTTACAAATTTTTTTTTTTTTTTATATTGACTAAAACCTCATTTTATAGCAAAAAAAATATAACTGGTAAATAAAAAATAGCAAATGCTAAAATAAATAAAACGAAGTAAAGAAAATATTAAAAAATAATATAAATATTTATTAAAATAACTTAGACTTTTTCTATAAATCAAAATATAAACAAATATTATTTTTATAAAAACTTTGGAAATTTTTCAAACTAGAAATTCATGTTTATTGCTAAAAAATTTATTTATGTTAAATAAAAAAAAAATAACTTTTTTTTTCAAAAAAATTCCATTGGAAGTTTTTAAAATCTTCCAACCCGCAAAAGCAGTGTGCGTCACCACAACTAAAAAAACTTATCAGCTCTGATTATTTGCCACCAACTACAAGCCCATAAACCGCAAACATTTAGAAAATTATTTTGCATTTCAAAAATCACTAAGCGTGAGATATGCACGCCTAGTCACCCGAAACCGGAATGGGTTGGTGGTCCGGTTATGCGCATCATTTAGCAGTCAATTGCAGCGTCAGCAACATATTTTGACATTTGACTCTGGTAACTGCAGACAGGGCGTGACTGTTCAGCTTACGCTTGCGCACTTTTATTTATTTTAACAATAACAATAATATATTGCTTGGATACAATAAATTGCTTAGATGTTGTGTTTGATTTTATATAAATAAATATATGATCGTCTTTCGTGCGAACTCAACTCATAACTGAATTTCCAGCGAAACTTTTTATCTTTACAAGACGTGCATATCACTTTCAGATACTACACTTTGCATTTTTAAAATACTTAGTAAGAGCCTTTTGTCAAAATAGACTCACTACTAGCACTGCTGTCACTACCATATTTACCGACTTCGTCATACGCCAAATGAGTATTGGTAGCTTTAACATGATTTCTTGTTTGTTGTTGTTGTTTGCATACTTTTATTTCAATTTCAAGTGGCCATATAAACTGTGGTTTGCACAAACTGTTTATATATATATGATTGTGCTGTTCTAGGATGACTAATAATTAATATTTCTTGCCTGTGCAAAAATCAATAATAAAGAAAAAAGAAAATCAAATACTAAAAACGGAAAACAAAAAATAATACTAAAAATTAACACGAAAGTAAACAAATTGTACACAAGAATTGTAAAAATATGACATTCGTAAGCACCTTTGTTTTTAACCAAATTAAGTAATTTACGTTTGGTGACTCACGCGATTCCCAGAGCCGGTTGCTTGATGAGTTAACATTGGCAAACCTTTTTATATCTTTTTATTTTATAAAACTTTGCGTGCTAGTAATTATCAGTATTTTTTTTTTAAATGTTATGGAAAGTTTTTAGAAGTAAGAGACACTCTCATCTTGGTAATTTTTATTTTGATTAATTTATTTGTTAAATTTTGTGCGCACTTTTGGCAACTGTTTGGTTAATTATTGTTTAAAACTAAGTTTTAAATAAAAAAAATATATATAAAAATAATAATTTTACTATGCTTAATTTGTGGCTAAATATTTTTGAAAATTAAGTTTTCAATAAAAAAATATATATAAAAATAATAATTTTACCTATCTAATTAATTTATAAATGGGTAAGAATTTTTAATTATTTTTATTTTTGTTTTTAATGAGAATAGCAATATTGTTTTATAAAAATATTTATCAATATTTCTAATTTACTACCAGTTTCTTCATATATTATATTATACTTTGAAAGTTTTATTTTGTGATCGTGAATTCTTGATTTTCAACGCTATTTCATATAGACAATTTTGTGATTGTGAATTTATGAACAACACGCTTTCATAAAGACTTTCGGAGCTTAATAACATATATACATATACTAGTTATGTATAAAATCTGACCGCAAGTGAGATGTGCCACGCCCAATTTTTGGTAAAAAGTCTATTTTTTTCATGAAATTAGGAAATCTTATAAAAATCAACAGCTTTTACTAACATAGGCGTTAATCCTCATAACAGCGCTGTTCATTACGTCTTGAATTAGAACGCTCTGTTGTTGTTAACGAATATGGATTACAGCCTACAGCACAAGTTTTATACGTAAATATGTATTTATATTTAAAATCCATATACTTTTTTCTGCCTATCACAATATTTTCTAATTTGTTCCATTTTCGTACGCAAATATT